CGCTGAGTGCAGTCTTCCAGAGTCTCACGCGGTCTGACTACCCTGGGCTCCTGCAGCTGCTGTCCTGGGGCAGGTCTTTGGGCAGCCTTTTCCAGCAGGGCCAACCTCACAGAATAGGAAGGCCCAGAGCTTACATCTGAGCATGGTACAATATCAGACTAGACGCTGAGGAGCTGGGTAAACCTGGGCCTGGCTGCGGGGATGCCGCCCGGAGCCTGCCAGGGCACAGAGCCCGAGCTTCGGCGTCTCCCGAGCGGGGTGAGCTCTAGGATCCCCTCCTCTCTGCCCCCTGCTAGTTGGGGGACGACAGGAACACCGCTTAACCTCCTTGAGCTCAGCTTCCTCAACTATAAAAGAGAGATGCTCATCTCTTCCTCCTGGTGTCGTGAGCAGGGCGTCCAACCAGGTAACTCTGGCTGGTTCAGCTGTATTGATTGAGAATATATGAAAAACTTTCAGTGCAAGTTGGTAAATAATCAGTGCCTCAGTGTCTGCAGGGTCCCACGGCCCCGGTCACACATCTCCATCATCTTCCAACTAGAGACACACGGGACTTCCAGGTCTGTTCCAGGGTACCTTTGAATCATCCATAAAGCTATCTTACTGCTCTGTTAAATGTTTTGAATACCATCTCTTGTTGTGGGCATTAAATATGAATGAGGTGGTCCACATTCATGAGATTATAGACTGCAGAGATTTGGAGGTTTTTTTTTTTTTGTAAGAAGCATATACTTGCAGTAACTGACCCAGGTCAAGAGGACCAAGATACCTCCTCCAAAAAGGTGAGGAGTACTTGAAGAGGAATACTTGCAGGGTAACGAGCACTGAATAGTAAGACTTAAAGACCTCTTGGCCTTTAATCTCTGCCTGTCCCAAGTCAGAGGAGGGGCAGCTTCGACCTTTCATTAAACCTCATTATGTAATCACCAGACGTGAGCTTCCTCAGTCTTGTTATTTTGTATGTGAAGAACAGAACTAGTTTTTTCACAATAAAAAGAATTTCTGTACATGATCTTAGATTTTAATAGGTCACCCGAGAGTTTCTGACACCGATAAAGTTTAAGTGTTGAACTTACGGTCTATCTGGTTTCAGGGCTAGGCTGCCAACTCTTCAGAAAACAGAGGCTCTAAGAGAAAAATGCTGAATTTATGATTTTATGATTGTGTCTTCTCTCCAGGGGCATTTTGTCCATTCCTTACAAAGAAGGCCCAGAGCAGTCTTCCCAGAGATATTTCATGAGAGTGGTCACTAAATAAGGTAGACAGCACTCATAATGGACAATTCACTTACTTTTCTCCAAAGTATTTTGCTTGCCCTTTTATGATATAATATTGAGAAACCTGGATACAGATAATCTGACACAAATTTGCTAAGAAAATGTATTGTCTAAATTTTCTAGAAATATGCACATTACTGATACCAAAGTGAACACAATGTATACAGAATTACTTCTTTCTTATTCTTGATGAAAATGTTACCAAAAATAACATGATGTTGAACTAGGCCAGTTTCCAGGGGCATTGTTATTTGGCTGGAGTGAGAGTTACACTAATCCAAGTGTATGTAAATAGGATAGAACTATTTTCACATATTAGGTTTCCTGTTAAAAATGTGACCATCTTAAGGCTGTCTGTTCTGCTCATTCTTGGTCCTAATGAAGTCCTGGGGAAAACAGAACAATCCAAATTCTTGTGTGCCCGTGTCTATTTTTTTGGCACTTGATTTTTCACACCTGCTCAACTCACTTGGAAACCTGATACTCAGAGGCTCCAGGGCCCCTAAAGACAGTCTGCTGAACTAGTCCTGTTCTTTCCCTCGGGATCAGAAAGCCCGAGAACCTCACGCCCAGGCTATGCATGAGGGCAGCGGGCACTTTTCACAGGTGTCCCTGTGTGACAGAGGACAAACTAAATCTCCTAGAGACTCATCTGCTAGCTTTTTCTGATGACTTCTGTTTCAGGGTCTTCTCTCTCTAATTAGCCTCCCCAAATGGACTGTTTACTGCATAACTAGTCTTGAGCTTGCTCTTTTCTCCGAATGAAGAGAAAATTGCACTTCATTTTGTGGAGCTATGGTGCTTACGCTGTGCGGTTAACACCGAGTGATATTTTAGAATTCTAGATGGCAGATGTTCAGAGTTTCCTCACTGGCAGTTACTAATGGTGAATATATAAATCCTCTTTAATAGGCAATCTAGCCGAAATTTTTCTAAATATTTATCTTCTTAAATTCAGATTATTTTCTAAAGTGTATTAGTCTAATGTGAACAAGAAACATTCTTTTTAGGATCCAGAGGAAAGTTGAAAGCATTTATAGCCTTTATCATGTGGCCAAATAAATCACTGATCACAATAAAATACAGTGTGCTGATTTTAACATCTTCCTAGCTATGCCTTAACATCATTTTACCCATTTCTGTTATTTTCTTTTAAATATCAATCTGAAAAACCCATACTTGTTGTTTTGCCAAGGTCATTTTTCAAAGTTTGTTTTTATTTGCCCTTCTACTACAAGTAAAGAAGTGGAACAAAAGAAGTACACACAAGCTGAAATACTACAAACAAACAGAGTTCACAACATGATTCTTTTTCAGTGCTTGAGGCTTCACCTTTGTAGCCAACACACAACAGTGTCTCTCCTGTTCTTACAAGCAGAGAGTTCCCTTGGAGCAAATAAGAATCTGCGGACAAAGAGCCCAGGGTATCGAAGAAACTTCCTAAACTTTTCTTTCGAAGAAATACAGTCCTTACCTTTTCTATAGGACCCTTGAATTGAATAGAAAGTGGGAACAAAAATTAAAAGTCTTTAGGTTAGGAGGTGAGGAAATATCCACCAAAGAAACAATAAACTGGGAAGAGTGAATCAAAGGATGAACAAGGAAGAATCAAAGGATGAAAAAAGCATAAGATAGGTGCTCTAGGACTGACTCCACAGAAGGAGGCACTCAGGAGGTGGAGAGGAGGTGGGAGTCCCGGAGGTGAGGAAGCAGGGAACGCAGGAGCTCGCGGCAACACACACCGCCTGCCACCCTGCGGTGGGTCTGCCTGCAGGGAACACAGCGGGGAACTAAGAGGGATCTCAGGCTTGCGGTAGGCTGAAGCTCGAAGACAATAGGTGGAACTGCATCCAAAATGATGCACAAGACTCTGTCTGCAAGGCTTGTCACACACACGGTCCAAATCCAGTTTTGATTTTCTCAAAATAAGGGTAGGGAATAGTTGATTCCCTGGTGGCTCAGAAGGTAAAGCATCTGCCTACAATGCTGGAGACCCAGGTTTGATCCCTGGGTTGGGAAGATCCCCTGGAGAAGGAAATGGCAACCCACTCCAGTACTCTTGGAGCTGGAGGAAGGAGAGATTGCAAGTGTGAATATTAATTCGGAGTTTTGACTAGAAATCCAGGTGTTTGAATTAATGCTACTCTACAGATTAAATATTTTTATTTTCTAGCTATGATCAGAAAGGTTAATGGTACATTTCTCCAATTTTATCTGGAGACAGAAGAGAACCAACCCTTGGAGTGGGTTTGCTACACCAGTTGTAAGACAAAATAAATTTTAAATTACTTTATGACTGCTCCTTAAAAGACCTGTTTTTTCATTGTAATGGTAACATAGAAATGTACCTAAACAGTTAAACAGGTAGGTGAAAGCAATAACTTTAGCATAACTCTAAAAATGAGAAAACATTCCATGGAAGAGATGTAGAATTAGGAAAGACTGAAAATCTGCTGGAGATACAAAGAAAAATCCGCAATGACTTTAGGAAAACATAGGAATGGAACTAAAGGGGCTCTGAATACAGAAACTGTCTTTTAAAAGAAACTGTTGGTGGGAATATAAATTGGTACAATCACTATGGAGGACAGTGTGGGGTTCCTTAAGAAACTAAAAATAGAGCTACCACATAATCCAGCAGTCCCACTCTTGGACATGTATCTGGAGAAAACCATAATCTGAAACGATGCGTGCACCCCGCTGACCACCACAGCACTGTTCACAAGAGCCAGAACATGGGAACCCCCAAAATGTCCATCAACGGCGGAGATGGGTGCGGACGCGGTGGGCATATACAATGGGAGCTTACTCAGCCGTGACAGTATGAGGTGAGGCCACTTGCAGCGACGGGGATGAACCTAGAGACTGGCATACTAAGTGAAGTGACTCAAAGACAGTCATAATATGGCATCACTTACGTGTGGGATATTAAAAAAATGGTACAAATGAACTTATTTACACAATGGAAAAGGAGTCATAGAGGTGGAAAACACACCAATGGTGACCAGAGGGGCAGTAGGCGAGGAATAAGCTGGAAGACTGGGGCTGACACATATACATCACTCTATATACAATACACAACTAACGCGGACCCGCCGCATGTCACAGGGACACTACTCAGTACTCCGTAATAACCCGTGTGGGAAAGGGTCTGAAAGGGCAGACATGTATTCATGCATCACTGATTCACTTTGCTGCGCCGCAAAAACACAACACTGCCAATCAACTGCACTAAAAGTTCTAAAGACATTTTAGTAAAACACTACAGCAAAAACGATGAAAGATAAATTATCTCTGGGCTGAAAGCCTCACTTCCTCTTCTATAGGAAGATGAAATACCTATCTACTCATGTGGACAACCCACCTGTCCATCCTAACGGAAATCAGCCCTGAATATTCATTGGAAGGACTGACGCTGAAGCGGAAACTCCAATACTTTGGCCACCTCATGCAAAGAGCTGACTCATTGGAAAAGACCCTGATGCTGGGAAAGACTGAAGGTGGGGCCAGGCAGCTGGGATAGTCACATCTGATGGCTTGTATTTCTTCTGCTTTCTTCTCTTAGCAACCTCCTCTCAGAAAAGGAAGGGCTTTAGCCTCCAACTAAAAAAAATAAATGAAAAAAAAAAAAACAACAACAACAACAACCCACAAACCAGGAAGGGCTTTCCCTGTCTCTCTAAGGGGGAAATGTCCCTTAGAGCAAATGTCAGTCCTCGCTACACTAGGGCTTAAGATAAAATACAGTCATCCAGATTCTGTAGGCTTAGCATTTGATTTGTAAAGGGAATTTTGGCAAACTGAAACCACCTTCCCCCGCCCCATCTCACCCAACAGAGCCTGGATTTCAACACTATGATCTCACCGTGAATTTTTTAAAATATGGTTTTCCACTCACTGCCAAGAAATGACTTCTCTGTTTCAAACTCCCATGACATGGTGAAGTCCATTGATTTGTTAAATACAGAGCTGCATAGCAACATGGTTTCTGGGAATGAAAAAAATGTCAGTTTAATGTTTGCAAAAATATTATTCCTGTAAAAATGAAAATTTAGACATATCTGCTTGTTGGAAATTGTGAGCTAAAAGAATAATTTATGCAAGTATTACCATTGCATGTAGGGTCATAGATGATAAACTGCTTAAGACCAAATACTGTTGAGTTTCTACACATTTGGATCGCTTGAAGATGCTAGAATCACAGAGACATAGGGAGTATAGGACTCTATAGAGATTATTACAGAGAAATTTGGTACAATGAGAGATGACGTCTCCTGGGAGGCCAGTGAGATCATTCATATGCATTATATCACAGCCTGACCACAGTCTAGTACTATAGCCATATGTTCTATTCCTCACCTGCGTCAACCTTCTCTTTCAACAAAGCCAGCTACCCCACAGACCTCCAGATTCACTGATAGCTCTCCTACATCTGTGTCTTTGCTCTTGCAGTCACTTCAATCGGAGTGCCCCCAGTTTAGGGCTTTAAAGAGCAAAAGTCTAGGAGTGTTAAGTATCAAAAGTCTTGCCTACTTCTTATATTTCCACCAAATAAGGGAATCTTGTGTTGTTATCAGGATGGAAACACAATATTTAGTTACTTTGCTTTAAAATTGGACCACAGTGGTATCTTACTCTGAGGGAACAAGAGAGAGGTCCAATTTATCCTTGCTAGAGTTTGTCTATCCTTTTCAAAAGGATATCTGAGGGGGAGCGCGAGGCTGAGTCTGGCTCCAGGAGGGGAGATGGGAGCAGAGGCTGAGTAGGAGTCGGGGAGACTGTGGTTGTTGCCATGGCGACGAGCAGCGGGCTGGTGGTGCTGCTGCCGGCTTGTGTTGCTGAGTGGGAGAGAACCACCTTCCTTCTGGATGGGTGGAGCTGCGGACAGAAAAATCTGAGTTGACCAATTTAACTCTCTAGTTGAGAGCTTAAACTGTATCTACACAGATATGGCCAATGTTTGTTGAGCACCGACAAAGTGGTTGGCAATGTGCTGGATACATTAGAAAATTTCATGTGTGTAAACCCAAAAAAGTAGGGACTAACATCTCAGTTTGAAATGTGAAGAAAGTAAGTTCGAAGTGGGTAAATAATTTGTCAATAACCTAGTTAAAAAGGCAGGACTAGGGTTTAAACCCAGATCTTTAATTCAATTGAATTTACTTACAATGTAAACCTATTTCTACTAAGCCGCAATGATGCCTGCCAAGTGACAAAGCAGGAAAATTGTGTCCATCTGAATAATGCAAGCTTAGGAAATCCATGGTTAACCCAAGCTTGGACATTTTATAGTTCTCCTTCTCTTGCAAGTTTTCTAGGAAAATAATTGACGTTAAAGCTTTCTTTCCTTCATTTAAAACTGAACTGGTTTTCTGATAACAAATTAAGAAAGTATCCAATATGACAGGTTTCAGTGTATTTTGCACTGATGTTACAGTATTAATGACTTATTGACTGTAAATATTTTATAGATAACGCAAAAGTCATGGAATTACCTCACTTGTTCTTTTTCTTCCAAAATAGGAGAAACCTCTGAATTTTTAACAGTAACCATTTATTGCCAGTAAAATAAATAATATCAAGATACTAAAGGCCCTAATTGGGGTTCCCTGGTGGCTCAGAGGTTAAAGCGTCTGCCTCCAATGTGGGAGACCAGGGTTTGATCCTTGGGTTGGGAAGATCCCCTGGAGAAGGAAATGGTAACCCACTCCAGTATTCTTGCCTGGAAAATCCCATGGATAGAGGAGCCTGGTAGGCTACAGTCCATGGGGTCACAAAGATTCGGACATGACTGAGCGACTTCACTTCACTTCAAAGGCCCTAATATTTCTATTCTGATTCTCATCTTTAATCTAATAAATTGGCATTTGTCCTTTTTGAACATGTATGTACTGTGTAGTGATTCAGAGCATAAATTCACACTCCAGCTTTACCATTTACTAGCTGTGTGGCTAGGCAATTTAACCTCTTAGACCTTAATTATTTATCTGTAAAATAGGGATAATATTACTACCTAAACCTCTTTGGGGTCACAAAGAGTTGGACATCATTGAGTGACTGAACTGAACTGAAACACGAGAAATGTTGTATGGAGTAAACAAAATTTATTTTTGAGACAAATTATGCCAAATGCATAGCACAGTACTCGGCACACTGTGGCACTTTATGAGTATATGCCTACATATGTATGTATCATTTACAGAAACGAATCATGTTATATATTGAACTATAATTCTCACTTAACAAAACATCTTAAGACATATAGCCATGTCTTTATGCAAGGAGTCACTCTATCATTTGCTGAGTGATACTCTATAAGACGATGTGTCCTCATGGTGTGTGTCTGTGGAGGGAGAAAAAGCAAGCTCTCTGCTGTCTGTTTCCAAGGGCACTAATCCCATCATGGATGCCCCAACCACATGATCTATCTAATACTAATTACCTCTCAAATGTCCAACATCATCACACTGGGGTTAGAGTTTCAACTTTAAATTTGGGGGAGATGCAAACATTTGGTTCATACTACATTGAACAAAGAGACCAGTTTTTAAATTGTGAGTGTTAATATGCATCATCAGAGTTTCTGCAATTTACACTCCTACCAAAACAGGTGAGAGTTCCCATTTCTCTACATCTTGTTAGCAGTTTTCATCACAACTCATTTCATTCTTTGATAATCTGATAAAGCACCACAACTAATTTTGGTTTGCATATACTTGATTATGCCTGAGGATAGACATTCTTTATTTATTGGTGAACCATTTATTTATTTATTTATTGGTGAACCATTCTCCATTTGTGAATTTCCAGTATGCATCTGTTGACTTTTCTATCTTAATGTTTCTCTCATTGATTTCCACGAGTTATTTACATGCTGTAAATATTAACTCTTGTCTGTCGATACTCCTCCATACCATGTTTTCCCGGGGCATCCAGACTTGACTGTTACAAAGCTTATTATATTCTAAACTGTTCAGTGTGGCTCCTTGCTTACACAGTCACACGTTTTACAAGGGATGGTCTATTCTTAATCTTATTCAGAGCTTAGTCCTCAGCATCAGCCACAGTGCCTGGTCCACAGTTACAGCTCCAGAGCCATCAAGTATATTAATTAATAACATATATGTTGCAAGTATTTAGCACTACATATTATTTTTCTTTCAACTATTTCTGGCATCTTGGCCACACCATTTTTAACTTGTATAACCAGATTTGTCTAGTTGTCTACAATTCTCAAGTTCTCACCATGTATACACATGCCTTCTTCAATCCTAAATGATGAAAATAGACCTCTGTAATATATGTATTGTCTTAATTTTTGCAATTAACTCTTTAACCTGACAATTATTTGTGTGTGTTTGAGGCAGATATACAATTTTATTTTCCTCTAAATAAAGACCATGCTATTTATTGAATAATCTAACTCTTTGCCACCAATGTGAATTGGAACCCTTATCATACTCTATATAAGATGTTACATCTGGATGTTTTGGTATGTGATAAGGCAAATCTCCATTTTTCCTGAAACTTCTTTTCCTAGTCTTATTCAGGGACACAGCCAGGTAAATATGCTGTGAATTTATCAAGTCTCTTTTGAGTCCAATCAATCCCTAGCAAGTAAGCCAATGAGCAGGGCATTGGATCAGAAAAAATTATCTTTCAATCAGGCTGCCCTCATTAGTTTTCCAGCTTTCAGATGCACAGCTTTGAAAGATCCATAATCATAGCTATCTGACCTGCTTCACAGAGGCATTGTGAGACAAGAGAGTGCAAATTAACCTGCATATTAAAGGTGCTTTACAAATGAAGCTTCTGGGAAGTAAAAATCAGTCGTATTGTTTATTATTGACAAGTATCCCACCCTTTCATCTCGAGAAGATTTACTTAAATTGATTGGAAATAGATCAGTAACCTTCTGTGGTGAATCATGGCAAATCACTGCACACATTTTCCTGTCTTTATTCCCAGTTGTTCTCTCCACTGCCTGTGGATGAGGACTCCCATAGAATGAATCAAATGCCGAAGGGGCTCCGGTCAAGTCTGGTGCTCCTCTGTTTTTGGCAAAGCTCCGAGTCTGCCACCAATCAGCATAATCCCACAGCCTTTCCTTCCGGCAGGATCCCAGGGGAGACCGGGGAAGCCCTGTGGGCATTCCCAGACAGGCTGGATTAGGACGGATAGGAGAGATGTGTCTTGAATACGCTATTCCTTTCCTGAGGCTTCTGTGACAAAGCACTGGAATTGTGCTTAACACAACAGAAGCGTATCGTCTCACGGCTGCCGAGGCCGGAAGTCTGAAATCGGTGTCAGCGGGGTCCAGCTGCCTGGGGGATCTGAGGAGGACCCCCCGGGACTCCCGGCCTCCGGGAGCCTCAGCACTCCTGAGCCTGGAACCGCATCACTGCAGTCTCCACTCTGCGTCACTTTGCTTCCTGCTGGCTATGTTTTCCCTTCTGTCTCTTGTAAGTATATTTGCGTTAGATTTAGGGCCCATCCAGATAATCCACTTCATCTCGAGTTGTTTAACTACATCTTCAAAGACCCTTTTCCCGCTTTAGGTAACATTAGCAGACTCCAGGGGTTCGGACATGGACAAATCTTTTGGGAACCAACCCCCTCCCCCCCACACACACCCTCTTCACCCCACTACAGAAGCCTGTATTGTCAGAAGAGATCAGTCTCCGTGGATGCAGTGCTTTATCACTTTGAGATGTAATGGGCTACAGCTGATATTAGCCAAATGGAAGTTCATTACTAAACAGTGGGCATCAAGTTCTGACATCTTTCTCTTTATAAAATATACATAGAGTGTCTTTCAGATTCAAACTTGACTGAGGTCGAATTCAAAGATATACATTTAATTATCTCCTCCCCACTCCCACTCCAAATCTTTACACTTTACGTACAAAAGAGTCACGAGGGGATCACCAGATTAACACGTTCCTTGCTTCAAATGACCATGATGCATTACTGGAAAGTGAAAGTCACTCAGTCGTGTCTGACTCTGCAACCCTGAGGATATACAGTCCATGGAACTCTCCAGGCCAGAAGATTGGATGTGCGAGTGTGCGCTTAGTCGCTCAGTCTTGTCTGACTCTTTGCGACCCCCATGGACTGTAGCTCTCCAGGCTCCTCTGTCCATGGGATTCTCCAGGCCAGAATGCTGGAGTGGGTTGCCATGCCCTCCTCCAGGGGATCTTCCCAACCCAGGTCTCCCACATCGCAGGTGGATTCTTTACCAGCTGAGCCACCAGGAAAACCCTGCATTATTGGAACAAGATATAAGTCCCATCGCCAACCTTCTCATCAAATCCTCTTTGCATAAGGCAGGATCTCAGGCACTTATCTCAAGGCAGCCTATGTTTTTTCCTAAGCAATCCTTTCCCTTAATCTTTCAGGGTAAAGCTACACCAGGCCTGATTTTTACCACAGATGGCCGAAGACTAAGACTCCCTGAGATTAAAATGACTTCTCATCTTCGTCCTGCAATGGAAGACTCTCTTGTTCCCTAGGTCCCCGCGCTGATTGCAAGCCCACAGTGTGTAGGAGCTGTCTGTGCTGATTCGCAGCTTGAAATGCAATCCGTTGGGGATTTTTATGTTACTCTTCACATCAGCCTTCAGTCTTCCCAGAGAAAGCTTCAGGCTCAGGTGGTTTCAGTGGAAGGAAACCCTGGCATTCACAAAAACAGAACAAAAATAAGTTAAACAGATACTATATTCCCATTCTGAAACATCTTTCTGCCCAGAGGTGCCGTACCCCTAACATGCAGAAATAGGACTTCAAAAGGTTATCTGGCGAGAGCTGTGAGTGTTGCCATGGAGAACTGGTAAAAAATGCATTTTATTTGATCAGTTAAAATAGCTTTTTGTAAACCAGAAAAAGTGTTTGGGGAACCTTTTAATTTGGAAGCTTGGCAGTGTGGCTTTAATGAGCAGATCAGGGAAAAAAAAGATTTCTTAGGAGTTAAGAGTGACTCTTCCAAGGACCTAATGTTACTTTTTACAGAATTAAGACCAGAATCTAGATTATCACACTCCCTAGTCTAGACCGCCTTGCACTTCTGCCACGTTTTCCATTCTTTTATGATTAGAATATTCTGAACATTGACTGAAGTGGGGATTCTACATCAAGTGGACTCTACAGTCAGATAGATAAAAAGTCTACTTTCTTCTCTTATGGACCATTAGGAAATATTTTCAGCTTTGTGGGCCATATGGTCTCTGTCACAACTACTCAACCCTGCCATACAGTAGCCATAAACAGTATGCAACAAATGGCATGACTGTGTTCCATTAAAACTTTATTTGTACAAACAGGCAGTAGGTTAGCTTTAGCCTGTGGATTATAGTTCTCAGATCCTCAAGAGACCAAGACTGGAACTTCATTTCGCTAGCCTTCACTTTCTTTTTCTGTAAAATGGGTATAATAACAGTACAGCCTTTATGCAATGGCTGTAAGGCATTCCTAAATACGCCATGGATTTACAGTACCTGGCACATAACACTCGTTAAGTGCTGGCAATTATTTTTATCATCCTCTTATTTGACTTTTGGTCATACCTCCTGAACAGGAAGAGAAAAAGGAGTCAACACCTAGTGCTTTCTTTTCCCTGCCCCTGACATCACCTGCTGGCTGCCCCGAGCCCCCGCAGCCTTGGACGCGTGGCCAGGCAGCTGACTGTCACAGCCCCACAGATGGCAGCACCAGACTCCGCAGGCCCCAGACAGACGCTTGCCTTCCACTTGGAGCTCTGGCAAGTCTGGAACTCCTACAGCCTCCTGGCTCTGTGATGCCAGATGCTCAAATAGGTAGTTTTCTTTTTAAATACTGAAAAGCGCTCATTTTCCCGGTTTATTTCTGGAGACTTTAATGAAGCCAGGTGCAGTTTTAAAGGCCAGGCACTTGTGCCTGTGGCCCTGGCCCCTTGCGTTCCCTTCTAAACTGAAATGTCCCCAAACGGCTCTGCTTTGGTCATACTGTTGAAGCTGAAAGAACTGGGGCCACAACTGTTGGAACCTCACTCACCTCTCATCTCCAAAAGGGTGGGGCTCAGGATAAGATGGACTAGTCTTCACCTTACACAGGTTTACTGACTTACAAACCCTCATCACGTTTCAGTGACACAGGCCCAAGAAAACCGCATATGACAAAGTTCTACTAAACTTGAAACTATTAGACCCTTTTAAAGCTCAAAGTATTTTAACAATGTGTCTCATTAGTTCTTCGATTCTTAGCTGGGTGACAACACTCCCGAGTTTATAGAGACAGCCCTGAAGACCCTGCCAGTGGACTAACAGGAGGGGCTGGTGCCTGCGATCCCCTGGACCGCTGCTCTGCCCAAGCCTAGAGGGGATGCTGCTATTTCACTGAGAAGACCACTGCGGGGTCCTGGAGTCAACGGTCTCACACACAAGAAACTTACATTTCCTACCTGTCTTGATCAAACATCACATGGCTATGGTGAAAACAATTAATATGGATACACATTTCCTTTTCTTCACAATGATTGACAATTATTAAGGTTTCCTGAAAACGGCACTCATACTTCTTTCCTTCCACCTTCTTAGATGTGCTCACCAGTCAATATGCACATGGATACCACCCTATCTCCGTTTTCTTCTGTAGGTTCAGAGTCTAAATACAGAGTAGGAGGGGCCTTTAAATTACACAAAAACATTTCCAGCCTAACTTCCAGTGACTTCCGCTCACCACACTTCCCACAGACACGAGCTTTCTTGTCTTATGTGCTGGGGTCACCCCCACTCCCCACGTCTAGCTGGTGATACACTTCCATCCGCCCGCCCAGCTCACGCCCGCCGACCCTCCCTCGGCACTCCAGGTGGACACTGAGTCCCCTTCCCCTGGGCTCTGGGCACCCCGCGTTTGTTTCGCCAGCACTAAGGGGCCCTCTCAGCCTCTGACCTCACAGCCCCGTAAGTCCAGGCAGGGTCTCTCTCCCTCACTAGACAGGAGAGCCAGACGATTCAAATCCCACTCCCCTAGAGTGCAGAGCGGGTACCCCGCTCAAATGCCAACTCCTACCAACGTTTATTGGAACTCAATGCAAAATCTACAACCAACTGGCATCAGACTCTATTAAAGGGAGTCTACGCATTCAATGAAGAGGAATTTGTAGATTTTCCTTAATAAACTTCAAACTAATCATATTAACTGCTTTAAAAATCCATTTAGGAAGACAAAATAAACAAATAAGTCAAATTGCTTTTTTTGAAATCTCCCTTCCACACAGCCATTCCGACAAGATTTCAATCCTGCATCTGACAAGGATATCCATCCCAAGGAAGGCAAGTACTCTGATCTTCTGCTCCAGGGGAGGCGGGCAAGTTTTGGATCAAACAAAGGCCTCCCTGCAACTTCAGATCATGCTTTGAAAGCCAACCAATGAAGGTTGCATTTGGTTTAGTGAAAGTGTTTCAGACATCTAGATCCTAGAGACTCGTCTTGCTTGCTAGCATTGCCATTTAGATTTGGGATCAGAAAACGAGCCCCGGGACCACACTGATGACTCCAGATTCAGAAAGCTACCCAGGGTGTGGGGGCCAGGATCGCCAGGCTCCTCGGGAGACGCTTAGCGTCGGCGCTTAAAAGCAGCGCTGTTGGAACTGCCTTCCTTCGCCCAGTTTGGAGATTCAGAAGTTCACTTACAGTCCTCCAATGAGAGAGGTCTACTGGAAAAACTCCTACAGTACCTGAAGAGGTAGCCGACGCACTTCACACAGGCCCGGCCAGCTGGCCCCCGGCCCCCCGCGGCAGGCCCTGCTCACGGTCTGTAAGACTCGCCTCCCCGCGCAGAAGCAGCCTGAAGCGCCCTGAACCGCGCAGAAGCAGCCCGAGCCGCCCGGAACCGCCCTGAACCGCGCAGAAGCAGCCCGAGCCGCCCGGAACTGCCCTGAAGCGCCCTGAACCGGGCAGAAGCAGCCCGAGCTGCCCGGAACCGCCCTGAACCGCGCAGAAGCAGCCCGAGCCGCCCGGAACCGCCCGGAACCGCCCGGAGCTGGCACTCAGCGGGCCGAAGGAGCTCTGTGCCCTTTGGGCATGTTCCCGGGACACACGTCCTGGATTCCTTTTGCCTTTGTTATCTTTTCATCGTACACTTGAGGAAAGTGCCTACGCAATATCATCAGGAACAGTTTCATTAAATACTCTGAGCAGACGCGCAGGGCGGTGGGAGCAATAGGGACGCAGTAAGAGGCTGTGTTCCGGGCACTCCCCTGACAGCCTCAGCCGGGCACGCGCGCGGCGCACCACTCTGAGCAGCGTGCGGCGCCGAGGCAGCCGTGAGGAGCGTCCGTTTAACGCCTTCGGTTCTCTGTGACGCAACACCGAATGGACTCCAAGGGGCTGAAACACTAACGCGCCGTGACTTCGCGTGACGAGAGGGTGGGGGCTGGCTCACTCGGGGCTCAGCACCAGCAGGGGCCCACCAGGCCCTGCTCGCTTCCATTCGGTCCTCAGGCGCGTCTCTGCAGGGCTGCAGAGTGGCTGCCGCCGCTCCAGCGTCAACACCACGCAAAGCCGCCTTGGAACGTGGCTGCGTGAGGATGGGGTGCTCTCCCCTTTGAAGATGGAGCAGTCCTCCCCCGAAGTCCCCAGCTGACGCCTCCTGGCAGTTCACTGGCTAAAACTGTGTCCCAAGCTAATTCTGTCATCAAGGCTATAGAAAGAAATCGTGACTGATTTAGACCAATTACAGTCTACCTCCAGAGGCTCATGACTATCCGATACGTGAATAAAATCAGGATTTTATTAGCAAAGAAGCTAGAGGGCCAGTGGCTGGTTGTGAAGCAAGTATAATATCTTCCATAAGGAGGTCACCTCCTTGAGGGAAATTAGGAATGCAGCTCGAAACATTTATGCTTTAATTTCGGGTAGTGGGAATTTATTGAGGGTTTTCTGAGCGGGAAAATACCATGAACAAATATTGTTCAATACTATTGAGATGTAAGGGACTTCTCAGCCTTCTATTCTGAAAATTGCAATTGTCTCAATATTCAATGGTGATAAACATTTTCATAAATTTATTGAACACTTATTTTCTGAATGCCTGCTGTTCCAAGTGTGGAAATACAAAGTGAACAGACAGCTGGGGTCCCTGCCCTCAGTAGCGCTTACATTCCACTGGGGAAGGCAAACTGACTTTTCACACTTGGCTCTGTTAAGAAGAAAAGAAGTGGGGTAATAAAACACTCAGTGAGGAAGTAGGGGTAGACTAGTATAAACGGGCTGGTCCAGGGGATTCTCGAGAAAGTGACAGTGAACTGGAGCAGAATACCAGGAGCCTACTACAGGAAGGCGTGAGAGCAGAAACGCTGGAGCACGGGGGACACGGGCAAGGAACAGCAGGAGCAGCGTGTGGAGCTTCCCTGCTCGCCACGTCCTTGCCAACACTTATTTCTTGCCTTTTTGATAACAGACCTTCTGACAGGCGTGAAAGACTTTCCTTCTTGGAAAATGTTCCAGGCCAGTGCTTTAGCATGCATGTTAATCCTCTGGGGAGGGGTCTTGCCAACACGTGGGTGGTGATTCAGCAGGTCTGGGGGTGGGCCTGAGACTCTGCATCCCTAACAAGCTCCCAGGTGATGCCCATGCTCCCGGTTTGAAGGCCACACTGTGTGGCAGGATTGTAGCCCAAGGTGCCCAATCCACGAAAAATGCAAACAGCGTGGATTTTTAGTTGTTTTCCCTACTGGTCTCTTATATACCACGTGCTCCAGACCACTGTCAATACTGTAGACACACGCTGCTATTCAACTAGAACGAGGTGTTCAGTTCCTTAGTTGCACACAGCACATCTAAATGTTGGTGGACCACACGTGGCTAGTGGCCACCACACTGGACGGCACACGTAGAAAGAACCCTGCCATTATCACAGAAATGTTTTATTGGAGAGCGCTGCCCCAAACAGAAGGAACTCTTTCTAGTTCTTCAGGCTTGCTGCTACCATGTCTTCCCTTATTCTGGTTTTTACAGAGAACATGCATATTCTTTCTACCTGCTGAAGTCAAATGTATCTTTAAGGAACTATTTCAAGCCTATCTCTTGTATGGAACCTTTCCTGAAATTAAAGCTAAGTGTGCTTTCTGCTTCCTTAAAATCTGCACATTTGTTTCTTCTCAGCGATGTATTTCTTACTGTATTTTGCTTACTTAGTATCCAAAGTACCCTAGTATCCAACTCCCTTTCCTCTGGTTGTTTGGATGGGGTAGGGGGTAAGGGGAGGTCTATTCCTCATGTGTTTCGTCCACGTGATTCAGTTGAACCTAACCCTACCGCTAGTCATCGTCATTAGGATATAAGCAAGATGACCGCCAGTACTGTCGACTCTGGGACATCTGCTGACAACCCAAATGAAGGCACCCTCACCAGTGGGCTCACGAGGCCGGCTGGGTGCAGGTCTGGCTCTGCTGGAAGCCATCTTGCCATTACGCGGCGGTCCTTGCCTGAGACGAGAACAACTCAGAGGAAAGCAAGTAAGAGGAAAAACCACATCCTGGATGACATCACCCTATCGTTGCTTCCAGCTGTATTTGAAGTTCTATCTCCCCTTGACGTTTGTTACTGGGAGCAATAAGTCACTGATGTTTGCTCAAGCCGATGTACACTGAAGGAGCCTCATCCACTAGTCACTTCGGCCACTCCTGCAGCCATTTACAGTC